TTTGAACAGGGAAAACTTTTACAAGTTAGTTTGCTTGTAAACTTAGAAACAACTCTTCAAGCTTTTCAAGAAAAAATAAACGATATCTATCTCGAATATGCAAACCAGTATAACATTGACGAAGGAGAGTACCATCTCGATATTATTTATGACAGGAAAAATGCAACTGTTAAAATCAATAGAATAGAAGACCTTGGAGAAAACGTTTATATTTCTACAAAATATAACAACTTGGCATGGTATAGATTTATGAGGATGTTAAATCAGCCTGCAGCATATCCAGTACACCCAGACTTTTATGAAGTCGAAAACCCTAATGGAACATATGAAAATATTTTCGACCCAGATGCTATTATTGTTCATGCTTCATTTTCTGGCGCCCAAAACTCTTTCTTATGCTTAGCAAATGACTTTTACGAAAAACCTACAAAGTTATACGAACCACCAAGTGGAAGTATTTCAGACTTTCAAGTATGGTTTACTACAGATGGAAGAAAAAGAATAATTCCATTATACCATGCGTTTTACTTAGAACTTAGTTTCATATACAACTACTATCGAACGGTAAAAATATAATTTTTAATACGGTTGAGGTGTTGGATTTGGTTGCCAACTAGACTGTGGTGCAGGTTCAGGCTGTTGTATAACAGGAGCTTGTTCTTCTGGTTCAGGGTCTTTAGGTATAATACCAACAAACTGACCTACCCTTTTACCAATATTTTTGACACCGTTCCAAATTCCTCTTCCTACGGTTTTTTATTCCATTCCATATACCTCTTCCAACATTTCGAAAGAAGTTTCCTATCTTACTGAAGAAACCCATTTTACTATATGTAAAAATCTAATGTCCGCCTAGTCTCTTACGTTTCCTGTTGAGTTCCATAGCATTCTTTAACTGGAGCTCATACATTCTGTTTCTCCTCTGGTAGAAAACATATTCTGGGTCAACTCCTGTGTTCGCGTCATCTGCATAAAGTTGTTTATATCCCACTTCAGGGTTTGTATAAAACTCTTTCCATCTCATATTTGCATACCATGGTGGCAAACCTAACGCAGCGTCATTTGACATGGCAGTTTGCATTTGTACATCTGTTGGCACTTGACCATAGTTTGCCATTGCAGTTTGTATTCTAACTTCATTTGGAATATTCTCTGGGTTTGGTTGTCCAGGTTGCTGTGCATTCGCTAAGTTCTGTGCGTCCATTTAATATTAGATAAAAATATCTCTTACGAGTACATATACTGAACATTTGCAGGCATTGGTTCATCTTCATATTCTCTGTACTTTTCTGCCACGTCAAAGAAATAAATGACACAATGGAAAAAACCTAAAACAAGTAGTCCTATTTCAAACCACATTTACTTACTAATAAAATTTCTTTGTTATGACACTTTCTCCGGTTTATAGGACCTCTCTCATATTCTATCTTGTCATATCTAAACTCATAGTCATGTATGTCCTCTAACCATCTCATAACGGTTTCCAAACCACTTTTATCGGATGTAAAGTAAAAGCATGGATGGTTATGTAAAACGTCTAAAGTTTCTAAAGAGTCTCTCAAAGTCCAGTCTACTTGGTATTGAAAATCCCATGTGTTATAGAACGGTGGGTCCACTATAAAGAAAACATTTTCCTTGTCTTTATATTTTTCATACAACTCTGTCCAATGACATCTCACAAACTCTATACCCTCAATATATTTTTCTATGTCCTCTTTGAAAACATTTGTATAGTTAAGATATAAAACTTTTGACATAAGTGTTTCAATGTCATGAACTCTTATAGAACCACTATATAATAGTCTAGCAGATATACTATCCCAGTCTATATATTCTGCTTTTTTCAAAACCTCTCTCACAATATTTTTCTTATCTAATGGTATACGTTCCATCTTACCTATAGGTATCTTTTCTTTTAACTCTTTCAATATATTGTTTGTGTCTGGTATATGTTTGAGACGGTCCATATAGTTGTCGAAGTCATTGCATATAATCTTTGAGTCTGGGAATATTGTATGGCACAAATGGGATATATAGAAACTTCCACCGAACAAATCTACAAATGTTAGACCATTCGGTAGTTTCTTAAGTTCTCTCAATATAATATCTTTACATCTACTCTTATTTCCAAAGAACGGTAACGGTGGTTTTGTAAAATTCATTTATATATAATAATAAAAATGTTTTTACCTGAAAAGTGACAGAAAAGTGACAAAACATGAAAACATATATAATTTGTGAAAAGCGACACATTATATAATGTTTTCGACCCAGAAGAAGGCTTCTCAAAGTATACTTCCTTGGAACGCCTGTAACTTTTCCTGTAGCGACGATAGACCCTTACTTGTCCGGACAAAGTTATACTAAACATCTTCAGGGCTAGAGGGCACGAAGTGCCTGGAGGCCCCACTACCTTTTTTTTTTTAAAATATATAGAAAATTACGTTTTTATTATATTTCATGAAGTAAATTTCAAAAAATATAAAACTCTCTATCAAAAAAAAAAGCATGTCATGAAGCTCTTTGTCAGAATGAAATAAATAAAGTTTAATGATCTGTAGCGTGGATGTATATACTTGCAACAATTCTTTAGGTAAAAAAAATCAAATTTGATATAATATAATTTCGGGCTTCAGTTGGCTAGGCTTGCCCTTCGGGCAAGCCCAGCCAACTTCAGCAAAATAAATATATTATGATTATAGGAAATGAGTTTATACAATTAAATTTGAATTTGTGCGATTAATATTATATTTCAAAGATTATTATGTAAAACATACGAGAGATTTTTATATCCATCGAAGTGGTTTAGGGAATACTTTGAGATTTTAGAGATTTTTCGAAAGAAATATTGAAAGCAAAGCATTTATTAAGAATTTGTTGTGAAATGAATACACTTCGATGAGATATTACATCAGTTTGTTACTTGGCAAAATTAGAGCTGAAGTCATGTTCATAAATGAAGAAAATGTCTTAGCTATAGTAAACGGTTGTAATGTATTTGAAACATTAATAGTCTTATTGTAATCTGATATCTATGCGATCATAGATATTTGTTGAGAAAATATTTCAGAAATTATGTAATTTGTAAGGATATTGAGGAGCTCTAAAGTTAAAGATTAATTAGGCATGTGATGACAAAGAACTTGTTATAGACGAAAATCTAGAATTTTAGAATTTTCAAAATTCATCTGTAACCAAATGGGCATATTGTGAATCATTTAAGGTATGATGGAACACCAATGATGCATTAGATCAATGTGATACATTAGAAGTTTGTGCAGAAAGTCTGGTTAAGAAAAGATGAAAATGTGAAATGAAAAAACAATATTTCTCTCAATTTTTCAAAAACTCTTTGCCTATCGTTTGGGAAGCGGCGCTTCACGCCGCTAATTATATTTTGAGAACAACTTTGTTTGTTTGTTCGGCAAACTTATTTCAACGAATTACGATTTACAATCAGATGTAACATAATGATATCAGATTGATTTTGACTTTTGATAATAAAAAATTATTAAATAATTTGAAAAGTTTTTTTCTTCGCTATTTGATTGGCGCTTTGCGCCAATCAAATGGCTCAGATTAATAATATGATATTATTTTAAATATGATGAAAATTTTTGAGTGAAAGCTATCAAAACTAAGTCTTAAAAAATAGATATTTAAAAATGGTTTTTGATTGTTACACTACTTGTGAAAAAATGTCGATTGATCTTCTATATAAAGGCATTGAATTTAGTTTTGAGAAGACTTTTTTACATTTTGCGAATTATTAATTAGTATATCATTAAGATCATATTGTATTAAGTTATCAATTCTCTTAAATTTTGAAAGCTTAAGAAATTTAAAAGCACAAACAAATATATATTATTAAAATCATTTTATTGATCAATTTAAAAAATTTTGAAATTTTGAATTCGAATTTAAATCTAAGCTTTAATAGTTGTAACAGAATAGGAAGCATCACAGATGTCAATTTAGATTAATGAAAAGTTGAAATTTTTCCAATAAAATTTTATTAATTAAAAAAGATTCATGAAATACAATAATAGTAATATAGATATTTTATACAACATGTTATATAAGAATCACTATAAATAGAATAGCTTTAAACAAAATAATCAAATCAAAATTTGTATCTGTAAACAGCAAGAGTGTTATATGCTAATATTATGTGTAACTACTCATTGGATAATGAATGCAATATAATACATTGATTTATTGGCTAAAGAAACAAAATTATATCCTTCAATTTGGACAATGCGAAATTTTTCTCATTTTTTTGAATTGCATATATATGAATTTGCAATTGAGTGATATCAGCGAGAAACTTATATGCACGTTTAACTTTATCAGATTTCAAATGAAAACATGGATTTCATTGATTGTTTTTCAATACGAGCTCAACAAAAATGATACAAAGATGAATAAGTAGTAGTGCCCCTAAAAACAAGGTAAAAAACGAAAAATTAGCAACAATATACTTAATTTCGGCCAATAGGGTGAAAAGTGAATATGTCAAAAACATTTATTCCATCATCTTGTTATCTGTACCTCACGACAGACGAATATAAAGAGATATCAATTTCCAAAATTTTACCAAAAAGAGATTAGGCCTAATTTTTACGGCCAATCTTTATTATTTGTTACACAGATGCTAGATCCACTACTCCCCAAAACAATTCATTTTTTGAATGGCCCTGTTTTTTAGGCCTTCATTTTATGAAAAATGCCAATATTATACGAATCTTAATATATTTATTTTTTTGTTCTCAATAAAGGTATTCAAAAGCCAATATAAACCATTCAAAATTGAGAGGAAACTCATTGAGAGGCTCGGAATTCGAGTAGTGAGGAAGGGTAAATTTTGAGAGCCAAAATTTCAAATCCCCTCAATATTTCAAAGCCCTTCTACTTAGATTTTGTGACTACCTTATATATATCATCTATCGGCGCGCTCCACGCGCCGATAGATGAATGAAAAAAAATTTTTTTATAACAAAATGTCAATGAATCATTTAAATGAATTTATCTCAAGTGTTAGATTAGCAGAAACAATCGAAAAGATGAAGTTTATCATAAACACAGAGATGGCTTTCATTAGGGCTGAATTAAAGAAAGAAGGAGCAGTGAATAATCATTTTTTACTTACAGAGATCGTATTTCTTGATACAATTGGCGAAAATGTCAGTTGGGCACAAATGTATTCGGTTCAGCTTATGGCGAACAAGTCTTTTGTCAAGAAAAGAGTCGGATATCTTGCAACTGGTCAATTACTCGATGAAAGCTCAGAAGTATCAGTATTGGTTACACAAACATTACTCGGTGATATCCAATCTCCTAATATATTAATACAATGCTTAGCTTTATCGTTCATTGCAAATTACGGAACGAAAGAAATATGCACAGAGACAGCTAATACGATCCAGAAAGTCATCAAGGAATTGACGAATAAAAAAGTTCTCAAGAAAGCAGCCATGGCTTTGTACAAAACAATGGAATTTCTCCCAGAATTAATTCCATCATTCAAGAACAGCTTCCAGACACTTCTTAATAGCAACGATAACGGTACAATTATGACAGGAACAAATTGCATCCTCAAAGCTCTTGAAATTAATCCGAAAATGGCTGATCTTTGGAAAATCTTCATCAACCCTTATACAATGATGCTTAAAATACTTGTAACATCGAAACCACCACAACAATACGCTTTTGGTGTCACTTTTGACCCATTTTTACAGTGCAAAATCGTCAAAGTCTTAAGTTTACTTAATTGCGATTCGCAAGTATTCCTCGACCTCCTACAAGAGATTGTCACATCAACAGATGCAAGAAGGAACGCTCAAAGAGCCATTTTATACCAATCTGTCGAAGCAATTGTAAATGTTACAGAAAATTCATCACTTAGAGGCCTCGGATACAACCAAGCTGGTAGAATGTTATCATACAAAGATCCGAATATCCTTTATGGAGCTCTTTCGCTCTTCAATCGCGTTTTGTACCGCGATAATATGATTATTAACCACGAATCGAGCGATTCCGTTGCATTACAACGCTACAAGAAGCATATTGTTAGATGTATTGATAACGCCGACTCACAGCTCCGTAGAGTTGCTCTTTCCGTCATTTTGGCTTTGATTGATGAATCTAATGTGGAAACAATTGTTCCGGAGATGCTCCAGTACATCAGATTGGCGAACTCTGATTTTAGGGCAGAGCTCGTGAACAGATTATACTACGCAGTTCTCAGATATTCCAAAGATTCTCATTTTATTCTCAAATCTGTCGTTGATATCGTTTTTGAGAACGGAGATTATTTCGGTTCGGAGCTGATCACCTCATTCGTTGACTACGTGTTCAAACATCCCGAAATTAAAGAGGAAGTTTTGCAATCTTTGCCTCCCTTCTTGATGAAAGTCGATAATCAGGCCGCATGCCAGCTCGCCGCATATATACTTGGCGAAATGGCCACTGAATTCGATGATTCGACCATGGAAACAATGATTGAATTATTAAACATGCCACAGACTAAGGATCAGTCTAAAATGATGATACTCACGGCATTAGCAAAATTATGTGTGAGGTTTAGACAGTACGAAAAGATCATCCCTGTGATGCAGAACGCATTGAATAATAATAATGTTGAAATTCAACAGAGAGCTGGCGAATTGATAAATCTTCTTAATATGCCAGAGTTTGCAGAAGTTATTTTAGCGCCAACTTCAGAAGTTTCCGGCGAAATTCAAGAAAATGCTGCTCATGAGGTCAAAAAACCAGAAAAACAAGAAACAAGTCCAGACCTTCTTCTCAACAACCTCTTAGATTTATCTACACCAGCTCCTGCCCAACCAGCAGCTCAAAATATGCCAGATCCTTTGAAAGAATTGTTATCTACTCCAGTTTCTCAACCAGCTCCAGCTCCAGCACCTGTCCAACAGTCCTCTCCACTTCCTCCGCCTCCAAACTCCTTTGTTGTCATGAAAACAGTTGATTTTGTTATATTTGGTCAGAGCCAGATCAACCAAAACAACCAGAACCAGGTCGCTCTGATGCTCACTGTCATTCCCACCACTGAGAAGATGCTTGTGAACTTCGTAATGGAGTTCAGAGTCCCTGTTGGTTGGAAGATCCTGCCGAAGGAGCCGTCGGAGAAGGTTTTGAGGCCGATGAAGGAGAGAAAACCACTGACACAGCTTTTGTATCTCATGTCTAACGGAGCTCCCTTTGGATTGAACATCGCAGTTTCATATATGATGGGCTCTCAGCCAATTCGTGAAGTTGGGTCAATCCAAAAGCTTAACTGATTAAAATTGTTGTACTTTTATACCATAAATTTGTCATAAAAACTCTATAAATTAATATTTTTTTTTTCTTTGTTTTCAACTCATTGAGATAGAGATTTATGATATAATTTTATAGAGAAAGAAACAAAATTGTGATGACTTATATGATAGCATTACTAAATAACTAAATAAAAAAGAGTTTTGAAGTTACTATAATTTTTCCTCTCCTATGACTCTATGATATCATCCATAAAGATTACTGATATCAATCACTGTTTTTATTAGTTTCTGCCCAAATTGACAATAAAAAACATCACATTCAACAAATGTTATTCCAATACATCAATATACACATCCTTGATGAGCAAAAATGATTCTGTAAAATTAAGAATTATAATCCATATTTCCATAAAGTAATGAATTAAAAAATTATTATCACATAAGTTATAAAAAAAGAAATAAATATCATTTTTTAGTTCGAGCAGAATTGTCCAGCAGCCAATCTAGCCAATGGAATTTCATCTGATTCGCAGACAACACCAGCAACTCCAACACCAGCCAAGAACTTGATTGCCTGTTGAGAAGCTACCTGTTTTCCGCAAACAACAATTTTCTTCGATGATTTCTCGCATGACTTCCTAATTATATCTCCAACACCTTGTTCATCGAACACCTGGAACGGGTTCGCCTTCAGTATATTCCATGCATTGTATTCTGTCATGAAAGAGTGCTGTGCGTCCTCTCTATACATACCAAACAAAGTCTGTGTCAATCCTTCGACATCAATATAAACAAAGTCAGAAAATTCAGAAATTTTGTCGCTTGTCAAACAGCTTCTTGCGCATTCCATTGAAGAACCAACTTCCACTTCAACTTCCTGAGCCTTTGCAAGCTCCCGGATCTGCTCTTTCAAGCGGCGGACTTCTTTGGCTTTTGTAACTAATGGAATCAAAATTCTGACACTGTTTTTGCCAGCGGTTTTGACAGCAGATAAAATTGAATTTACCAAACAATCTAAGAGAGGTTTAACTGTCAAAAGGAGTCTTGCACCTCTTGTACCCATCAACGGGTTACTTTCATTGTGTTTTCTTGTCTTTTCGATGAGTTTCTCCTTCTCCTGGAGTTGTTTTTCTTTTTCTTCATCGAAATCTTTGTTGTTTTCTTTCATCACTCTGAGTTTCGCGATATCCGCTGTTAACTCCTTCAAAGAAGGAAGAAAAGCGCCAAGAGCCAATGACAACAATCTCACAGTCGATGTAGATTTGTCATTTGCTTTGATCGCATCAGCAATAATCGGAGTGATTTTGTCAGAAATTTCCTTTGAAATTGATTCATCATTTTGGTTATCAACCAATTTGATGATCAGCTCCTTCGCGTTGTTGAGAATGATGGAGTCCATGCAGAGAATGCCGAGAGAGGCTGCTCCAAGAGAAAGACTCTTCTTGACGTCATCAGAATTCGAACAAAGTGAAGTGACAGAAAATTTATCTTTTCTGATTTCATCTGCGACATTCAATACGTCCAAGATGTTCTGCTCTGAGAGTTTCGGTGTGAGAGGGACAGCGTTCTGGTACAAGAAGCCTCCAGCGATTGTTACGACTTCTCCTTCCTTCAGCGCGATGTCGGAAATCTTCAAACAGTTTTCTTCGTGGTCGATGATTGATCCTTCGATTCCGAAGACGCCTGGCTTGCAGAGACTGCGTGCAATGAAGGCGGCGTTGGAGAACTCTGCGCCGTGAAGGGAAATAACACCGGAAGAGGCGGCAACGGCGGCAATGTCTGCACCGGTAATTTGGGATTTGACCAAAATGACGTTTTCTCCGTTTTTAGCACGCTCTATGCACTTAGCGTTGGAGAAAACAATTGGTCCTGATGCTGCACCGAGTGATCCTTCGGCTCCTTTGGCTAAGGCTTCGCTTGGAGCTTCGACAAGCTTATTTTTATTCGCATTCGAAATCGAAATCGCGTCAATAAGGTTGATGGCCTCTTTCTTGCCCATTCCACCCTTGATTGACTCGTTGACGATGTTGAATGGTCGCTCATCGCCGAAAATGGCTTTGTGAATGTGGGTCACAAACACTTTGTTTGCGCGGTTGACGACGCCGACGACGAAGGGGAAGTCGATTCTGGAGTCAATGCGGGAAACAATCTCTGATCCGGTCTTATCAACTTCGGATCCTGGAGAAAGTGGTCTGTATCCGTTCTCTATATCATCAAGAGAACTCTGCTTGCAGAACTGGCCTGAAATACCTTTCTTGCCGGTCTCTGAATCGTAGTTCGTAAGGATAGCACTGTATGAATTTGCGTCGTAGTCTCCGAAAACGTGCTGTTGTATGAAGATTGAGAATCCGGATGAGAACTTGGTCTCGAGTATTGTGTATTCCTTAAGAATGGCTTCAATTGCAAGCTTGAGTTGGTCTAAAACGTTCTGTGGGAAGACTTTTCCGGTTTTACGTACGACAATTGATTTGTAGATCTTTGTGAGATGGATCCAATCGTATGGTTTGAAGTTGGTGACGTGGATTGAGCCAGTGTAATCCAATAATTGATCGAAAATATACGAGAACTCATCACGATCAATTCCGTATGCGATAGAGGCAAGTGATGAAATTAAGCGTGGATAGAGCTGATAAGGTAAATCGCGTAATGTTGAAGAAGTTGCTAATTCATTTGCAGTAAAGTCATTCATTCCGATACCATCGATGCCTGGTAATGGTGATGGGCCTGTTGCTGTTAAGAAAAGAGGTCTCTTCTGACCAAAGAATTTGGCGACTCTTTGTTCAAGCGAATGAAGATGCTTTAAGATCTCATCCCAGACTGAATCGGGTAATTTGTTTCCATTTTCGACGTATTTTTGATATGCTGCATCTGTAATAACAAAACCATCCGCAATATTTACGTTTGATCCGATAATTTTGGCTAAATTGACAGCTTTCTCGCCACATAGTTCTTCTACTTTCTCCCATGAGCCGAGTTTCCTTAATAATGATGGAACATCAGATAGAGAAATTACTGTGTCCATTCTCTATCCAAATAACGTTTTTTTTTCTATGGGGAAATCGTTGGTGTAAGACCCTAGAAAAATAAATTATTATCTTACAATAACAGTAGATAGAAGCGTTTAACTCTAAAATTTGTTTAAAATAGATTTTTTGTATTGATTTGCGAAATCAATTCTCAAAATTTCATTAGAATAGGTTGGATTTGAAAAGAACAACCTTTGCCATACATCAATACTTTATAATTACAAGCTCAATAGCATAATTCAATTAGAGTCTTGATAATATTGGAAAAAACCAGAATTTTCGAAAAAGTGACACCAACTATTAAAGTTATTTTATTACTAGATTTATTTACAAATTATAAGATAATATCATTAACCGAATATATTTTTAATATAAATAAAAAACTTTTTTTATACAAAAAATTACAATCAATCGATAAATATTATAAAACATTTATTCCAAAAAGATTAAGTAATAGGTGGGATCCTGCATATAATATAATTTTATGTCATAAAGCTTACAAATTTTAGATGGACCACAGTGAGAATGTGAGTGGTTAATTTAAAGGTGGTCTGATAAAGATATCGAAGCTTACTCAACACAGCATGAAGCAGTTTCTAATACACAATCTTACTAGTGGTGTTTCGGTCGCCAGCGCTCTCATAGGGGTGCTGATTTCAAAAACCACTACTTCAAATTATTCAACAATACTCAATGCAGCATGAAGCAGCTACTACTGCTGTATCTTACTGGTAGTGTTTTGGTCGTTGGCTCTTGCACAGTCTCTCAGATTTTCAAAATTTTTTTTCAACACTATCTTGTTTCGCTCTCAGAAAGCTATCCTACAAAGACATCGAAGCTTACTCAACACAGCATGAAGCAGTTTCTAATACACAATCTTACTAGTGGTGTTTCGGTCGCCAGCGCTCTCATAGGGGTGCTGATTTCAAAAACCACTACTTCAAATTATTCAACAATACTCAACACAGCATGAAGCAGTTTCTAATAAATATATACATATATAAATATATATATATAAATATATACATATATAAATATATACATATATAAATATATACATATATAAATATATACATATATAATATATACATATATAAATATACATATATAAATATATACATATATAAATATATACATATATAAATATATACATATATAAATATATACATATATAAATATATACATATATAAATATAATATATAAATATATACATATATAAATATATACATATATAAATATATACATATATAAATATATACATATATAAATATATACATATATAAATATATACATATATAAATATATACATATATAAATATATACATATATAAATATATACATATATAAATATATATAATATAAATATATACATATATAAATATATACATATATAAATATATACATATATAAATATACATATATATATAAATATATAAATAACAAAATACAATCAAAAAATAGTGTTTGAAAATTTAAGGTTAAGTGTCACTTTTTCGTAAATTCTACCACGAAACAATAAGAATTACCGAAAAAGTGACAAAACATCAAAAACAGGGAGGGGGTCTCAATTTTTATTACTTATATTATTTTACAATATTTATATAAATACTCTTTATAATATATTTTACTATAAAATTATACCTCAAATTCAAATATTTAAAATATTATTTACATAATTATCTCAAAATTATATTTTTATATATTATTTTTCATATGTATAAATCATATAATCTATATCTATGCAAATCTCATCTAAAATTTTTTGAAACAAACCGCTACCATTTTATAATGGTCCATCTTAAATTCATCATAAATTCTGGTACATGTTAGTACCAGAGTCTTCAAATCTCAAACACTCTGGTAACAACATGTACCAGACGCGAGTTTCCAATGCCCTCGTACGATTTTCTATTAAGATCTTCTTGAATGAGAAGGTCTTCATAGAAACTCGTACGAGGGCTTCTCTTTTAAATACTCTGGTACCTGCTGGTATCGGAGTCGACTTTACAGCCCTTTCCCCAATTTTGAAGCTGGGGAAAGTTTTCAAGCAATGAAAGGGAAGCTCTCGCTATGAGGTGAAAATCTAGAATTTTTACCTCATAGCGAGTAATCCTTTGTTAATTGCTTGAAAACTTTCTTCAAATTATCAAAATTTCGAGGAAAGTTTCCTTGCTTCAAAGTAGAGATGGAGCCCTTTGAGCCACTGCATATAGGTCAGTGACTCAAAATACTCCATCTCTACTAGAAATCGCCAAAATTTGGGTCGCAATCTTTGAAATGCGACGCAAGTTTTGGCAATTTCGCGAGGGACTTGCTCCATTTGGTGCATAGATTCACACTCTATGCACCAGATGGAACAATTCTTTCGCTGACAGCGGGAAACTTTGTCTGAATAGTTTAACATTCAGACAAAGTTTTCCGCTGTCAGAGAGGGAATGGAAGGGTAAGAGGTATATATTCATAATGTATACCTCTTACTCTTCCATTCCCTCAAGAAAGTTCAAAAACTTGGGTGCAATCAGAACTGATTGCACCCAAGTTTTTGAATTTTGTATAAGGAATTGTTGGCTATGATGTACTGATCATGAATCAGTACATCATAGCCAACAATTCCTTCGCAAACAGTGGGAAACTTTGTCTGAATAGTTTAACATTCAGACAAAATTTCCCGCTGTCAGGGAGGGAATTAGAGGTGGGAGATATATAGATAGACTATAAATCTCTCACCCTTTAATTCCCTCAAGAAAGTTCAGTTCTGATTGCACCCAAGTTTTTGAATTTTGTATAAGGAATTGTTGGCTATGATGTGGATAGCCGCTGCCAGACCAAATGAATTAACCGTTGTGAATAACGTTTCTGAATCTTTATTTAAAAAGATAAAATATCACGATTTTGGCTGCGTTAAAAATCAAAGAATTGATGTTTTTGTCAAAAATCTTTTAGAAGAAGTTGCACCCAATTACTTTTATCGTATTAAAAACGATTTACTTCAAACAGGTTTTATTCCTTCAATTAGAATTTGCGAGCCTCGATTGACAGATTATAAAACAAAATTGAAAAGAGAAGTTCAATCACGTTTATACTAAGTATTAAATTTTGTTCAGAATCAAGAAGCCAATTTGAATCCATTAAGATTTTTATTGGAAAATGCTGAAGAAAAACTTTCTCAAATAAATGAGAAGATACAAAATTCAATTACATATTTAAGATCGTTTGAAATTCCAAATGAATTGTTAGATACGTATATGTTAGAAATTAATGAATTTTGTTATAATTCTCCAGATTATATTTTAGAACATTTCGAAGAATTTTTGGAGGATTTCAAAGAAAAGAATAATTTAATAGACTAAAAAATTTATTATTTTTATTTATTGTGAATTTTAAATTGTCACTTTTTAAGTGTTACTCCCTATTGAAAGTATCACTTTTTGGGTGTCACTTTTTCGGAAATTCTTATATACTCATTCTACCACACTCAAAGAACAACCTTTGCCATACATCAATACTTTATAATTACAAGCTCAATAGCATAATTCAATTAGAGTCTTGATAATATTGTGCATTTTTCTAATATGACATGCATGCTATAAAAAAAATAGTTCCTCAACAATGTTTATATGTACACATAACTCAAAACTAAATGTCTATCATCAGCCCAAAAAAATTTTGATTCATCAACAGAAAAACATCATTTCACATCGACTTTTTTATGGTTTTACAGAAAAGCATAACAAAAATTCATTGCTAAACCTCAAATTATAATTAATTCTACAAATCGAATATCCACGCTGGATAATAGTAATAACGAGTCTTCCATGACCTTCCCAAACACCTGATGCAGTCTTGACATCCTTGAATATGAAGCCATCATTCAGAGTGAAAGCATAAGGATGACTCTCGGATTCATTATAAAATGATCCATGTGCAGTGATGGTTCCTGTGGGTATCGGGCGATTTTCAGACAATGCCCACGAACTTCCCCCGCCTGCACCTGCATCTTGATGGTGTCCAGCGAATCCACCGAACCAGCCAGCTCCAGCTCCAGGTCTATCAGCACCGCCATAAGAAGATTGAACACCTTTTGGATTCCTTGATCGATAAAATTGCGCTGATTCACCAGATCCAAAAGTGAAGCCAGAAGTGGAGTCTGCAAGTCTTGAGAGTTGTATTTGCCCATTTTGCCAATACCCTTGACCTACAAACCCACCTCCTGCACCACCGGATCCATCATCAGTGCCTTTTAATGTTTCAGTAGGATATACATTATCAGATCCACCTCCAGCACCACTCACAATCACTCGGTGCCAGAGATCATTAGACAGAAATTTGACAGCGGTTTGGCCACCACCACTTCCCGAACCATAATTATAATCCGCTCCATAATGGTTGAACGTGGCACCGCCTCCACCATAGCCACCTTTTATCATATGGTTAACATCGAAGTCATCAATAATCCGATATTTATATTCGTAAACTCCTTTACCTCCTCTCGTCGCGAAAGCGGTTATTTTCCGCGATAATGTGATTATGCCAGATATGAAACCTCCGGCACCACCACAGCTCGTCACTAACTTACACGATGTGTTGCCATTGGCAATTCTCACAACGTCATTATTTACACATATATAATTTGAGTCAATAAAGGAGGATGTATGATCAGGCTTGGCACCACCAGATGCGCCATATAGACTAAATTTATATATTCCAGTTTGCAGATCAATTTGGTAGTCAATGCATTCTGAATGAGATTTACAAGGATAATCGAAAATATATTTTTTTGAGCGCTTATCTACTGTTACGGCTGGGACACTGTTCGAATTTCCACATAACTTATATGATAAAGCCAGATGCTCATCAATTTAGCAATTTTCCTTTTGGACGATAAGAATGATAGTTGTGATCCTAAATCTGTCATTCCTATGTGACAATCAATTGAAAAAAAATGATAATGAGACATCAGATTTACTAACAAAAGACACAAGAATTCATAAATCATGTATTTATTAATATAAAATGTATTATTTGATAGTTAATTCCGAGATAGTAAAATGTATTGCACGTCGGACATATGAGATGGTCAAGAACAGTTATTTCAAGCCGTCCATGACCTTCCCAAATACCTAACGCGGTCTTAACATCCCTGAAGATGAAACCATCGTTCAGAGTGAAAGCGTACGGATGACTCTCGGATTCATTATAAAATGTCCCATGCGCGGTTATATTTCCAGGGGGTATCAAAGCATCATATGATAAAGCCCATAAACTCCCCCTCCTGCACCAGCATTTCCATTCTGCCCAGAGAATCCGCCAAACCATCCAGCACCAGCTCCAGCTCTATCATGACCACCATCTGCATTTTGCACTCCTAATTTATTTAAAGATTTAATCGCTTGAGCAGATTCTCCAGATCCAAAAGTGAAACCAAAAGTAGAGTTTGCAAGCCTTTTATCTTGATATTGGCCATTAAGCCAATATCCCTGAGCTACAAACCCACCCCCTGCACCACCGGATCCATCATCATTCCCTTTAAAAGTAGTACTTATGTGATCATTATCTGAACCACCTCCAGCACCGCTCACAATCACTCGATGCCAGAGGTCATTTGACAGAAATTTGACGGCGGTTTGACCACCACCACTTCCAGAACCATAACTATCATCAGAATAATAGTGGTTAAATGTATACCCCCACCGCCATAGCCACCATTTATCATGTGATCTATATTAAAATCATTAGTTATTTTTTCTTTTATTTCATAGGCGCCATGACCGCCTATCGTCGCAAAAGCGGTTATTTTACGATGTAGAGAGATAATGCCCGAGATGAAACCTCCAGCACCACCTCTGTTTGCTACCATTCGACATGATGCATTTCCATTGAAAATTTTTATAGCATCACTATTTACGCAGTTACTTTGCCTATCTAATAAGGATGATACTTTTCCAGAGGCTGCACCACCAGAAGCACCATATAGGTCAAATTTGTACACTCCTGGTGGCAATTCAATTTGGTAGTCGGTACAATCATAATATGATTCGCAGAGATAATCGAAAATATAGGTCTTGGAGTGCTTATCTACAGTAACACGAGGTCTTACATCAGGCTTATCAATTAATGTATATGATAAAATGGTTTATTTAGCCAAATTTTGTTGTAAGGATTTAATTTTTTTGACACTTTTCTTGACATCATCAATTATGATAAGTTATCTGATAGTGAACTTCATAATTTTAAGCAATATGGCTACTATGTGAACTGAATCTATAAATAAAATGCATGTTTTCCTTATTTAATGATCTTAAAAAGTGTCAGTATTTGGTCGATTCAATCCCTTGCTTTATAATAGGGTGACTAATCTCTTTTGTTAATTTCATTTCATTAGATATTAATTAAAAATAATCGCTATAACCATATGTTTTGAAAGAAATAATTTTATCTTGCAATTTTTAATGAAAAGGCAAATATCACTGAACAGGAGTTCAGATTGGAAGATATATTAATGATTGAAGGAAAAAGTTATCAAGAAAATGATCGGAAAAAAAGCTTTAGAAATTGTAGATAGATCACAATATCGAAAGAATCAATAGTTTGCAATATTTGAATGTTAGTGCTATATGACAAATTTTCATTGAGATATTAAATTAGGGGGATACTATGCATATAGTCAAAAACGTAACTACAGTTAATTTACGATTGTTTTGTTTATTATTTTGAATTAGTACTTTATTTTTGAATTCAATTTCATTATCTTTTTGAGATATACTCGAATGAAATATCGCTGCAATACATGCACATATCGGAGTCTAAACTCACCATCATATCATTTGGCGATAAAATATTAAAATTACGATAGAAAAATCTATACTAGAATCAAAATCTCGAGCACAAAAGTGACATTGAATACTTGTAAGTATAGAATTTCCATGTAAACTATTCATTTCTATCGTTTTTTGTAGTCCACATTTCCTCACTCTCGATTTTACTCATAAAAATATTAAAAATCACTATACAATATATAAAATATATATTTATATGGTTAAAACAATGTTATTTTTGCGAGATTTCATCTGAAATTAAAATTAGGGATTTTTTGAATTTTGAACTAAAATTTGTGATTGGCAAATATTGAATAATCGATTGGAATATGAAAGAAATACTTTAAAATTGAATAGAATGTGCCGATAGAATTTTTCTCACAATTTTAAAAAGTTGTCCAAATCCTATTTTTGATTGAGTTTTTGCAATTTTTATATATCAAGTGACAAGCTAAAAATCAAATTTTTGTTGTACTACTATTAATGCAACTATTTGTAAATTACGTGCATCCTTTGTATTCGAGTAATCAACACCGAGATTACATATTGTAAGAAAATCTTTGGAATTAGATTATTATTTGAATTTAAATTCGGACAGTCTATTTCATGTTGCTTCGTGAGAATATATATAATTTGCAATATGAAAATGATATACATGATTCTGTATAAATAAATAATTATGCTTTAGGAAACTGCTCGGCATTGCATGAGATCTAATCTTAATAATTTTTTAGATATGTTGAAATATGTAATATTTAGCTTCAATATCATTTATTATGGTGTGTCTTTGCTGTTTTGTGATATTGGATATCAATGACTCTTCTGTGAACGAAAAAATCATTAAATTCTAAACGTAAGCGAAACTCATTCAATTTATTATTAGAATCAAATCTATTTTAAAATTGAGCTATTTGATAAATCACAAAAGAATACTTTATATTTTTAGTCAAAATTTGTTGATAGGAGCTTATTGGCGCAATCTACTGATCTTCTTGGAAGGAGCGCACAGACCAGTCAGAAGCGCTCCTTCCAGGACCAGAAAGACTAGAAGGGGGCCCTGACCTTGAGAAAGGACCCCCTGCCAGGTCTTTCTGTGACAATTCGGTTCGCATTGCGAGTGTCTGCTGCTTCTTTTGACTAAAGCAGCAGACACTCGCAATTATATGTCGCGGCAAGTGCATCTGTGGTGTCGGAATGCACTTGCCGCCAACTTCGAGCAATCTACTGATCTTCCTGGAAGGAGCGCACAGACCAGTCAGAAGCGCTCCTTCCAGGACCAGAAAGACTAGAAGGGGGCCCTGACCTTGAGAAAGGACCCCCTTCCAGGTCTTTCTCAAAGGAATATTGTGCCATTGTGGGAGACATGCAGTGGCAATGTCTCCCAGAATGACACTTTGTGACCGACAGGAGTGCATAATGCACTCTTGTCGGTCATTGTTTTGCAATCACTTTGTGATTGCAAAAAATTGTGCCATCCAGAGGCAATGTCTCCAGGAATGATATGTGCAGACCGATAAGAGTGCATAACACACTCTTGTCGGTCAAAGTTCCGCATTCAAGTTATGAATGCGGAACATTGTGCCATTGTGGGAGACATGCAGTGGCAATGTCTCCCAGAATGACACATTGCGACCAACACGAGTGAATGGGACACTCTATTCTTTCAATTTTCCCATTAATATTTTTCTTTTTTTATTAGATCAATAAATAAACTATTTTAATGTTCATAATTACATAAATCCATATGAATCAATCCGCTATTTATTTAGTCTCTAATTTTAATAGGAGTGGGGGACAAACTCGCCCATTGTCACTTTTTCATTAACCTTAAACTTATAATTTTCATTATTTTTAATTAACCTTATTTCTTTCCCAATTCCTGATTTATTTTATTCACTTACTATTAAAAGTCACATTTTAATAAAATATAATAATTTATTTATAGCATTTTTACTATACTGTAATAAAAAATTAATTATAATAAATTAAATGTTTATTAAATCAAATGTTTTCTTTGCAATAATATTTTTAATGTTGAGTAAACAATGTTGGGATCAAGTGTATCATTTTTCAGACCTTTCTGAACAGCTTCAAGCATACTGATGCATTCGACTTTTTTAAATTGTGTCATTTCTTCGAAATCTCTTGTGACTTTTTTGATAACTTTAACACTTCTCTCTGAATCCAGACCTTTAATTTGCAACTTAATCAGGAATGAAGGAACAACAATGGAATATAACTCGATGACAAGTTCATCGAGTCGAAGATTTTGCCTTTCTGGGAAGTACTGGTGCTTCAAAACCTTGAAATGTGATTCCGAGATGTTGTTTGTTCCATCTCCTTCATTTCTATAGCGAAGCATCCACCTGTCAAGATGATGGCGCCACTGTCGGTCAAAGTATTCACGGGCAGCAGGTTCCTCATTTAAAATTTCTTCTAAATTGTTGTAAACTTCATCAGGATCAATTTCTTCCTCTTCAGAACCAAAGACCAATAACTTCATTAAGTTATAGAAAGTTTCGAAGTTGGAACGATCTTGAAACTTTTCAGCCTTTCTCATGACAGCGCGAACACATGAACGCCACACCAAATGATCTGGCATAAGGGGATGG